ATATTTAATAGTTTAATTTTAGTTAAAAACAACACTGATTTGCCTGTATTGTTAAAGCTTTTACACGAATTTTGGAAACTAACATGCACATTATACTTGCAAGCTAACTACAGTACTATGAAGCCACCAAAGAGGGCTACAACAGGCCTTAGGCAACAACATAATTTTTTTTTTTTATTGTTTTCAATTTTCACTTTTAAGTGCTGCTGGTCCAGGAAACATCTTGGTGGGAAGCAGACTTGCATCTGTAGTTGGTTACCGTGCCATGCCCATGTTTTCCAACAATTTCTGATCATCCAATAATAAAATGAAAAAAAAAAAATGACATGGACACAATCAAACAATAATGGTTTTATTTTCAATGTGAACAGAAGTGTTTATGGGGCTTAATATTAGACACTGTAAAACGTATGACATTGGATTATATATTTATAATCTCTTTATATTATGAATTACATAACTAGGGCACATAAGTGTACAAAAAAATGTAACAAAACAAACATTTGTGAAAATGAAACTTAAAATAGAAACTTCTAGTATCCTATAAAGATAACGGATGCTTCTGTTCTTGTCCTTGCCCTTTTTGCTTATTTGTTTTTGAGGTTCAGTGGGATGGTGGTGGTTGTAGTAGATAGCTCTGGTTGCATCTCATTTCGAGTGTTTCTTAAAGATGGAGATATACTCCTGTACATCATGAGGGGAACCCAGCACTACAGGAACCCTCTGGTGGATTGAGTCGGGTTTGATGTCTAGAACATTCATGGCTCCTGTTGTTGCCATACCGCCGGCCTGCTCCATGATGAAGGCCATGGGGTTGCACTCATACAACAGCCTCAGCTGGAGCCCAGAAAAAAAAACATGAAACCAGTGAGATTGTTGCCTTAAATACACTTTAAAATTACTCTTTTTAAAACAAAACCCAAACAGCTCATGATGTTGTTATCATTGCAATGCATTCACTTTTAAACCCTGTTTCTTCTCACCTTGCCCTTGGGGCTCTTGATATTAGCAGGATACAGGAAAATTCCACCATAGACCAGAGTCCTGTGCACATCAGCTACCATGGAGCCTACATAGCGCCCTCCATAGGGTGAACTTCCATCCTGCAAGTCAGAGTGGAAATGTTATCTTTACTGTCAGTGGAAGAGGCTAATTATGCTGGCTAAAGCTATTCACTGAGCTGAATTTTACAGATTTTCTATATAATGTCCTACCGCACATTTGGAAGAGAAAATGGTACTGAGAAATTATTTCATTATGTCAAAATATCTAACATACTTGACTGAATCACAGATTACACAGAAATATGAAGCAGCACAACCGTTTTAAGAATTTGATAATAAAAATGTTTCTTGAGCAGCAAATCAGCATATTACAATGATTTCTGTAGGATCATGTGACACTGAAGACCAAAGTAATGGCTGCTTAAAATTCAGCTTTGCTATCACAGGAATAATTTACATTTTAAAATATATTAAAATAGAAACAGCTATTTCTATGTTGTAATAATATTTCACAATATTACTGTTTCTAATGTATTTTGGACCAAATAAATGCAGCCTTGGTTGGCATGAAATACGTCTTCCAAAAACATTAAAAAATTAAATAAAAAAAATGACCCCAAACTTTGAACAATGGAATATCTTAAAGTTTAAATTAAGATCTGACTCTACCATGATAGTAACCGTAATGGTTGCTAAATAGATAATAGTAGGATGTTTCTCTAGCACAAACCCTTCAGTGAAATATATTCAAAATCTGGAGGCTCATACCTCTGGGAATTTCTTCTTTTGCAGATATTCTGTGACATCTGGGTAAAAATGTGCTGCATAGCCTTCATTCAGACTGTAGATCTTCCCCTTCTTCTTAATCTTCACATCCCGGTCTACAAGTATAAACTCGCCGATGGCCTAATGATGGAGGAAGAAAGGATACAGAAAGTTTAAGAAGTAATGCAACTATTTAAAGTTAAATAGAATATTAAGCATGTAACATAATTCTGACTTACAGGATCAAGCATGAAGCAGTTGACTCCTTGGCCTGTGGAGAGAACCAGCATGGTAGCACTGCCATAAAGAGCATACCCTGCTGCCACAATGTTTCTGCCACTCCGCAAGGCATCCTTCTCTGAGGGTTCATCATCAGTCTCCTGGAGATCATGTGCACACAAACGAACAAAAGCATTTCATTCGTTTTTAGATGACTATAAAGGGATATTTGTTTGTACTGCATTTGGATCTGAAAGCCTGTACTGTACCTTTCTGTAGATTGCAAAAATGGTTCCAATAGAAGCTAAGCAGTCAATGTTTGAAGAGCCATCCAGAGGGTCAAAGCAAACCACGTATTTGCCCTGGGCAAAATAAATAAATAACTAAATAAAAAGTCAGGTAGTTTATTGGCCTATACACAAATACATCAAAGTTGTTAGTTAATACATACAGATTTAATAACGCAACAAGAGAAAATTATTTTACAGACCAAAACAAACAAGTCAGATCATTTTCATTTATTAAAAATATACTAAAATTATATTAACACAAAATTGCCTTATGTAAATCAGTTTAAAAAAATTGGCCAAGTTATTAAAGTGTTTGAAGGATTTACTTTGACATTTTACTTTTACTTTAATTAATCAAGGGTTTTCAGATTACACAACAGCAACAACAAAAACACTGATGCACACACTTACCCTGTTCTCTGGTTCTACAATGATGGCTTGTTCATTTTCTTCAGACACCAGAACACAGGATGTGAAGGAGGATTTAATCATGTTTATAACAAGATCATTGGACAGGACATCCAACTTTTTCACCTGGTCACCTGTAACATTTGTGCTCCCGGCAATTCCATAGCTGATAAAATAAAAAAGAGATTTTTAACAGAGATTGATTCATGAAGAATTATGTAGTCTTTATGCTTTCCTCACAGAGCCGATAACTTCGACCTTTGTCCTCTATTTCAGCAAGAGATGAGGTCTAATCATTGCCTCAGTCTGCAGTGTTTGTTTGCAAAGTAGCTGAAATGACCAGCCACTGCAACAGTATACTGAAATACAGTAAATGTATATTCAAATGTGCAAAAACGCTGCATCAGAAAAAGCTTTTTGCACAGGTGGAAATGAAAGTTTAAACTATTGAAAAGGTTCTAATCAATAGGACACTAAAGCACATTGTATAGTCTGGGAAGTGATAGTGGCTGCACATTGAATACCAATATATAGAGAAAAGTCTCCTCACTTTTTTTGTACTATAAGATGCAAAGATGACAGACACGGTCTGAAAACCATAATATTAAAATTAAAAGTACTGTATATAGTTGAAAACTTGTTGTTTAAAATGGCCACAATTTCTTTGAAAGCCTGAATACTTGTCTGGTGGTATAGATGCATTGGCAGATACTCACAGATTGGCAATGCCGGCTTTTCTGACAGCAGTGGAAATGGCTTTGATGGCCGTGCACATTGAGTTGAGAAGGGTTGTAAGCTCCCCTGTTCCTTTGGCTTTTCTGCCCTCTTCCAAGACAAACCTGGTGAGGGTCACCACGTTGGTATCAAATGCACCTCTGTCTGACATGATGACTGACTGCTAAAGCGTGAAACCTCCTTGGAGTTCCTGCTTGGATTGCTGTCAGAAAGGATGTATTAGAACTAAGTGTAGATATATGACTGGGTTTAAAGGGGGAGTGATAGTAGTTTAGCCAATTGCAGAAAGAGTTAGAAGGGAGGTGTGGCTATTTGCACATGTAGTGAATGCAGGTGAGGGCCTGGCCGAAGTCCATAAAGTTTATCACAGATTTTACCCTGAGTATAGGG